TTGGTCATGCCTATCCATACTTACCTGTATCGAAAGTTAAAAAGTACCAATTCATTAATTACATGACGTCATAGTGTTTTCACAATAAGATTTATTACAACATTAATAGTTTGCAAATAACAAAACGATATATGTGCAACAACATATACGCGTGCACAACAAAATGCTCCATCAACATGTAATCCAAACCGAACAAATTAGTTATCAGACCAACCTTGGTCGTTAATCAGGTTGGTAATGTACCTCTGCTGACCTTCCTTGCCTTTTATGAAAAACCTTCTAACTTCACGTTCATTGTCATATAAGTGATCTAAAATCCTATCCAGAAATTCCTCAGAATATTCATTCCTATGTTCCTTCAACGCTGCAGCCAACTGCTCAATCCAATGAACAATGTGTTGATTTCTCATTGACTGAGACATTGAGTCAACAAAGGAACATAACATTTCCTCTTCACAATTTGATTTTTTAGGTTTCTTGTTAGAGGATGAATTCATGTTTTCTTTACTCTTAGACTTATATCTAGCCGGTTGTTTTTTGTTACAAGCATCAGATTGTGGTGTAGTCTCACTCTCCTCTGGAATCTCACTATCATCATCAGGAATAGGTCTGGACCTACTAGACCCAATGTTAGCATACACAGGCCTAACAAATTCACCCTTAGCTTGGTCATCACCCATGATCACTTGTAAATTTTTGAAGTGAGGGAGGGGTTTGTTTATGTACGTTTTGAACTTAGATTTGGATTTTTCTTGTAATAACAAATAATCATAAGTTGTGAACCAAATGTATTAATTACTAATGACAATGTAGATGCTGAATGTTATACCTGAGACCATGATTTTAACGTTTCGTCATCCAGTGTAATCATTTTATTTATTTCATCCCACCCAGCTCCACTTATATCAAGGCAAACCTTCATGTCATTGAATTTGTTTCTCAATCATTTCAAGTGGTTAATGACATGTATATGAGTGAAATCAGTCCTGAATTGCATGTTGATTTTCATCACTGTCATTTTATAAGCTTCTGCCTTGAAGTTCTTGTCTGACTTTAGCCCATCTAATGCTAATTCTGCAAGATAAGAAATGAGCACGTCATCTTGCTCTGGAAGACAAAATTTATTAGTCACACCTCTTGAGTTCAACCTTGGCCCCAGGCCCGTTTTCTTATGAGCTAATTTTTTTCCTTTTTCATTGGTGAAGTGTGCTCCTCACCATCAACGTCATGAATAACCTTCTCAACTAAATCACCAGTGTTTGGTAAAAATTGATTAGGTCCACTACTTTGAGATCTGACTGTGGAAAATAGCAAACCTTATGGACTGCTTAACATGCTCACGTATGACATTGGTTGTTGTGTCATTCCACCATAATTGACATCGTATAGTGAGAATGGTGAGAATGTATGACGGGATGAAGAGAAAGGTTGTGGTTGAACAGACGTGGAGTTCATGTTAATGTTAGCAGTTGGATTTGGCGGAGCATTAGAATGAGAAAGCACGGTCTGCTTATCTGCCTGATTGTTAGCCATACCTAATATATATTGCACAAGTAGACATTTTTATTAAAGAAATCTAAATCAATATATAATATGCATGCATTTAGCAATTTACGTTAGAAAAGGAATATATGAAACGCCTACATTTCGCAAACAACATGAATATAGAGTAGATGATAATCATAGTAATGTTTAGTACATGCTAAGAAACATTAAAATGGATAATTACGAATAGTAAAAAAATAAGACAAGTTATTACATTGAGATAGAACAAACATCACATTAAGTTAATCCACTTTCCATTGTGTTACCACCATTATACTTTGCACAATAATCCACCCACATCGCCCAAGCAATTTGATCTCGTAGCTCCTTCCATTCATTTCTTTCATCTCGATCCTCTCTCTGTGTCCTAGTTTGAGTATAATCCACCACACTTGAGTCGTCTTCATTTGTCACTTCCCCATTATCTTCATCAATTTCTATATTTTCATTTAAAAATCATCATCCGGATCTTCTATAGCAATAAAATTGTGTAACACAGTACACACTAGTACAATGTCCACTTGAGTGGGAATTGGATAATTCGGCTTCGCCGATAGTATTTTAAACTGGTTCTTCAATATACCAAATGTGCATTTAATTTTTGATCATAAAGAGGAATGCCTTAAATTGAACAACTCTTTCCTATTCTTTGGTATCCTACTGGTGTGCTCTTTTAAATGATATCATACACCGCGATATGGGGATATGAAGGCTGGCATTGTGGTGTATCCAACGTCACATAGGTAATATTTACCTACATTAATTAGACAGTATCTTAAAATCTCAATTATTGACAAGTATTTAATTTATTATTCAAAATGTGCATAAGTGAGAATGAATACCATCATAAACTTGGAGCCCGTAAGGTTGTGGTCTCGACAGAGCGTCTTATAATATCCTATAGTCATTTGTTGTTCCCTCCCACCCAGCTAAGACATAGGTAAAAAGTTTATTGGGGGTGCAGGCTGCTAAGATGTTTTGTGTCACCCCTTTTCGCCCTCTAAACCGTGCAACTAGATCACCAGGTAACACTACGTCGACGTGTGTGCCATCTATCAAACTAATGTAGTCTTATAAAAAACAATAAATTATACAAAGTTCAATAAAAAGGTTATTTTTTATAAGAGAATAAGATGTATGTATTTAATTTACCTTAAAGTAAGGAAAATAATTTGAGTTGTTTGCAATCTCCACTGGAACTTCATTTGGAGCTTGCTTCATGAAGCGATCACGTAACTCATTCATTGCTTGTAGGACTTTATTGAAATACATGCTAACTGTTTCTCCTAATCTTATGAACTCAGTCCTTGTTATTCTATTTTTAGTTTTATGACCCACAATACTTAGGAACATATGTTACCTAATGTATCAATGTACTGGTGAAAGGACATATGAACCGGAATTGTGAGAGCTAAGTGCTATGCGGCACAAAGTGCTACGTCGAGAGGGCGGGAGCCACCTCTTGAGGCCGTAGGAGCCACCTCTAGAATCTCACACGGATGGTACGGTCTTGGATGATATAATTTGGCACAACGAGGACGTTGTGAGTTTAAGTGGGGGAGTTTGTAATACCCTAACCCTTGAGAGGGTGATGTGATTAGTATTGATAGATTTGATTGGAATACTCATACCACCAAGATGCATCTTCTTTTCGGGAACCCAACTCTTAGAAACTCTAAAGTTAAGCGTGCTTGGCCTGGAGAAATTCTAGGATGGGTGACCCCCTGGAAAGTTTTTCAGGGAGCACGTGAGTAAGGACAAAATGTGCTGAAAAGACATGTGGTGGTTTGTGAGGCCAATCCATCGGATCTAATAGCGTACCGACTCCGGGATTCCGGGGCGGGACGTTACATAGCCAGTTGTTCTTCAACTTGAACGTGTCTTGTATCCTTTAATAAACTGTTTGCTTTCATTACTTCAGCAAGTTTAAAAAAGACCCTCGGTCTCATTCTAATATAAAACCGACAGCTATCACTATAGCCTTTCAATACACGTCTGAAGTGAGTTTCTCTGCAATATATTTTCTTAATCTTTTCTTCCTTCGTACAAGTTGAAATTGTTTTGCGTTTAGTACGCATTCTCAAAATACAAGTTACTAACGTGACCACGGCGGAAACAGCTGTATTAGCACACATCCTCTTCAATTCTTCTTCATCTACCATATCCATCTACATCTGTTGTAAAATTAGCATATATTTACAACTTAATATGTCTACTTATTGAAGTTTAAAATTAATTAAATATTTAGTACAAATATTAATTTCTTGAAACAAGATATCTAATTATACAAAAATTTATTTTAACTAATGTCGAATTTAAGTTCACACGCTGATCAAACAAATATGATTAAGGATTCAATCCAAGTGTTTCATTTGAAGGTCGTACTCCTCAATTATTCCAGGAAACTGAAATTCAGTAATCAACAAATAACAAAACTCTGTTGTTAAGAGATTATATACGTAATGAATTATCAAAAACAGCACATTCTACTACTTAGGTTCCTTTCATTACATCAAGCATGAAGAAATGAATCTTAAAAAAAGGGGGGGGGGGAGCTGCCTAGGGAAAATTACTGAAATCCAAGCAATAAACCCACCGAAGCCGACGGACACCACGAAGCCAACAAACCCACTGAAACCCACAAGTTCGAGAAGGGATCACTAACAACCAAAGCCAATGAACCCACCAACACCACTACGGAACGAAAGTTGGAAAACTAATTGAAGAACGGTCCGAGCAAAGGAGCGTCGACGATTGAGAAGATGCGGGATAAGATTAGAGGGAGAAGCTCATTCCGTCGTGAGAAACCGTCGTCACAATTGCCAGCCTCGACTTCGAAAAAGAAATCGAAGAGCCGCGAGAGAAGAGGCGCGAAGAAGAGTGAGATGATGCGGGAGAAGAACAGCGAGGAGACCACAGATCTAGGGTTTTCAAAGCGACGGAATCGGAATAAGAAAGAGGTAAAGGAGATGTTGGATTTTTTACCCAAATCCGCTCAAACGGAGAGGATTCAGAATCCATAAAAAACCACTGTTTTGACTACTTTACAAATTTCAAAATCTGTAAAAAAAAATTGAACCAAACTCAAGATTAGGATTCATTTGGAATCCTTTAATTATGATTTTGCCACTGTCAGATCCAAATATGATTCCTTTTCCATAAAATAGATGAAACAAATAGACCCATAGTATAACATGAATTATAGGTACGTTGATACATTAGGTAACATATGTCCTTTCACCCGTACATTTCAGGAATAATAAATGTGTTTCTATGCAACAATACATCCCAAATGCTTAAAATACCTGAACTAGCCCTATCTTCTTTTCTTGCCTCCCCTTGCATCCAAAACCCTCTCTCTCCAGTCTCCGACCGTCCAGCTGAACAGAACTTCTGGAAAAAAAAAGTTCAGGAGAGTTATGTGAAAAACCCCAAAGGTCAGGGAGTTCGTGAAATTAACCCTAACAAAAATTTAATAGATGGAGATTAGATTAGATCCAAAATCTCCATAAAGCATCCAGCATTTGCTTCATATTGTCTTCACAAAGAGAAATTTACACAAAGAAATTAGACAGAGGTAACTGATACTATTACAAAGGGATTGGTTCAATGTACAAGGATTTGATCCACTCCTCTGTTATGCCAGTTGTGCGTCCACAACCATCTCCTTTCCGAAACATCGTAGAAACAACTCTTGCACTGTTCATGGATGCATGAACAAAGTTCCTCGGGATTTCTTTGTTGAGAGATTCCTTGTTAAGACACTTCCATGCAATCTTAAGCATATCCTCGACGTACTTGATTTTTTCATAGGATTCGCCAGAGTCTTTCATGTGGCAAAGGATCGATGAGTATATCTTCTCTTCTTGCGTCTCAGCCTTCACAATGAATAAATCAAAAGAAAATTAAAAAATTGTTCAAAAAGGGAGGGGAAAGAAAGTATTATTCATCAAACCAAGCACTAGTGACTACTATATTTAAGCTACTACATTAAAATGGTTTTATATGTTTATTTAACTAATAGAAGGTATCTAAGTTATCCTTGGTGGATTTGAACTTCAGAATAGCAAAAGTAAAATAAAGATAAAACTTTAGGATATCAAAGTGAAAATAACCCAAAAGAAAAAAAAAAGGCATAAGAAAGCTTCCAACCGATGCAACCAAAAAAACACACCAAATAAAGAGAAAACTTCAAAAGAAGTGTTCTCATATGTACTGGAGAAGTCATCAGCAAGTTGAATGGGGATATTTCTATTCTTTAAGAACAATTAAAATGGAAGATAAAATGAAGAAAACTGGGTATTCTCTTTTAAAATAAGGATAAAAAATTCCACTCGTTTGATCTAATTCTAATGGAATCTCTAACAATCAACAAAAAATGGATGAAAGTGTATCAAATGAAAATAACTCAAACAAAGAAGATAAAATGAATTAAAAGTGATCTTATTTACAATGTAATCTTATTTACCTGAGATAGCGCCAAATAGTCGGTAAGTCGAACAATCAATGAAGACAAATATGAAATTTGATATCCTTTGTTGTGCCAATCAAGTTTATCTTTTGTTAGGTTTTCCTCAATGAAATAATAGATGTGAACAGGAACAGTTAGGCCCCCAGAGACCAAGTCATTCTCCAAGTACTTCTCAAGAGAAGGGATATCCCCTCTACGTGACCATTCTGCTTCTTTTAAGGCAGCCTCACATATATGTATCCACTGAAAAAAAAAGAACAAGTTAGCTATGAGGATATAGCTACATATATACATGCTCTATTATATTCTATTAGCAAGTACACAATCCTTGTCATTATGTGTCTTTCAAGTTAGATTTTAATTCCCATGGAAATCGCATAATGATCAAAGTTAGATGTCAGAAAAACAATATTAATTGTATAATAAAAAAATTTTACTTTGTTTTAAGTGATCCAAAAGGTTTACCTATTACAATATTTTTGGCAGACCAATTTTGCGAAAATGAGTAGAATTACATTGGCCAGAGTTTTAAGAAACTCAATTACAGATGATCCTTGTTATCTCTACCTTCAATAGCATTTATCACCTCTCAACTTCTTCAGTAGCACTTATATATCTAAGATTGACTTTAAGAAGGTGAGATTACTCCCTCCCTCTGTGAATCGATGTTGTTGAGTGATAAATGAGTTAAAAGCTGATAACTATGAGAAGGATTATTTGCAATTTATTGTTTTTAAATGTAATACCTAATTTTATTTTCTCATCTTATAGGAAAAAAAACTCAAATTACAGACCCGTTTGATCCAGTTAGGATCCAATATCAGATTTTAGACCTCTTTGGGTTTATAATTCAAATTACAGACCCGTTTGACCCAAATAGGATCAAATATCAGATTTCAGACTTGTTTGAGTTTATAATTCAAATTACAAACTCGTTTGACCCAATTAGGATCCAATATCAGATTTCAAACTCGTTTGGGCCTTTTGCTCACTAAAAATCAATTTTGCAGACTTCTATGCTGTCAAATCAAAACCGTCTGGCCCGTTTTGACACTAAATAATTATGCTAATTATTTATTTTCCTTTTGTTAAGAATGAATGGTGATATTGTTTGATCTCTTGATATTTGTTGGATCACCTGATATTATGTTTGATCACCTAGTGACATTTAATAGGGTTGATTGTTCATGAAGATGACTTTCGTCAAGAAATATGATTCAAAAACGTGTTATCATAGCATGGCTATACCCTCGACATCGATATTCCGATGTGATGAGTTTCTCTTGATTATTACTATTATTATAATAGCATTGACTAGACGATACACCCATCTTAATTGGACATGTTTTGGATCACGGTTATTTTTCATAAATTTTATGGAAGTCGTTCACGGTAACTCTATGGTTAGTGAACAATATTTTATGCACAACCACTTGAAAACAAATAGATAAATGTGACGTTTATAAAGGGGAATTGGACGGAGAATATAACGTGTATATAAGCGGGCTCATGCGCATTCTTGATATCCAGATTTATATATAAGGGCTAAGGGACAATCCTGACTTGAAGCCGTGTTTCAGGGACGGTTTACGGGAACCTAATTTATATATATATAAATATTCTTCTCTAATTCAAATAACACCTAAAATAATAATAATAATGATAATAATAATAATAATAATAATAATAATAATAATGTGCTTGTGTGCCTTGTGCTAAACCTTATTTGATATCTACAATTAGCATTTCCTTTTATCATCGTTAATTGAGTTTTTCATCTCTTCTTTATACCTGCTACATACACTTACACGCGCATAATTCCTTTATTTTACATGCTTGTTGAGAGTTTTCTGACTCCCTTGGGGTTTGCACACCCTAGACTCGGAAACTGTTCTTTCTTTGCAGGATCGAGAATATTTCGAGGAGTAGGCTCAGCGGCAGTGATCACCGTTTATTCTATCAATTCTCCAATTTATTTTTCTTAGGTAGTTATTTGATTGAGACTTTTTCTGTAATCACCTGTGGTTCTCCAGACTATGATGTATTTTTCCTCTTTCCTACTTTGGATAGTTGTGGACTTGTAGTAGAACTGTGTCTTTTTAGAGATTTCTTTATCTATCTTTTTTTTTGTTATCTTAGTTACATACTCTATGTTGTAGTTCTTGTTGGCAATATATCTGTATACAAGATAGTTTAGAGGCGTGAATGTGACCGTGTGGTTGCATTGTCGACCGAGTTATGTTTCAAACTATTACAATTTGGAACCGGGGTATGACATTAAAACTAAAAACATTAATATAAAAAAATAATAACTTAATATACTTAGTACCTCAGCTTTTATGAAGCGTGTCGCTTCCCATCCAAAATTCTTAAGGATATCATATATCGTCTCATTCGCATAGTTGTATAGTATAAAATACAATAACTTCAAGTAGTCTGGGAGGGTCTCCATTGCCTTAAGATCCCATCTAATGAAGAAAATTTAAGAAAAATAATCAGATAGCTTTTGAGAGAGCAAAACAACAACAATCTTATAAAATGTTTGCTTACTAAGGTAGGAAACTTAGAGGGTAAGTTGTGAAAAGCCCTTTTCACTATCAAGGTTCATTAGTAAACTTCTTTGTTGTATGGGAATCGGTAGGAAATTTTTTGTACTATTAAATTAAGCGTAAAAGACATTTTCTTACTATTTCAGATACTATAAAGTAATTGTGGAACCTAAGATAGCACACAATATGTAATTCTCAACATTTGTATTTCAATGCTATTTGGTTCACTGCAAGTGCATGGCTTACAACGCTAGTTGCATGCGGCTGGGACATTTTTGGCCAGTTGCAATTGTATGTTTCACTGTAATTAATTAATGAAGTCGTAATGATATTAGGAAAAGATTTCTTCTTGTATCTGACAACTTACACAGATTTGTGTGCAAGTAACAATTACTATTTCCCACTGCGTTGAAGGTGCATGGACATTGTATTAAGGTATACTCTTTATAAAATGATGCAGGTGAAAAGTTAATTGATAGCAAAGTTATTGTTGATGAAATTGTGCACTACTATCAGAATTTACTGGGGATTGAAACTCAGGTGTTGTCTTTATCTGATGAAGAGATTATCAGAGCTGGACCAGTGTTTAATATTATACCCAGAACCAAAAGAATGAGTTGAGTAGGAGGGTTACTAAAGGGGAAATCAAAGATGCTGCCACTTCTATGCCAGAGAGGAAAGCCCCAGGTCCTGATGGTTTTTCTTCTTGTTTCTTCAAAAAAGCATGGGGGATTTTTGGGAGAGATGTAGTAATAGAGTTATTTGACGATGGAAGGCTATTGGGTCAAGTAAATTCTACCACTCTTAACTCTTATACCTAAAGTTAAAGAGTCCTGGTAGTGTTGTAGACTTTAGAGGTATTGCTTGTTGCAACTTTCTCTATAAAGTAATTCCTTAGGTTATTACTAATAGGCTCAAGGAGGTTATTTGGACCTCAGTGGATAATTGCCAAGCTGCATTTGTCAAAGGAAGAACTATTACTAAAAGTATCCTATGGGGGCATGAGTTGGTTAAACACTATTTAGAGGAAACATACCTTCCTTCGGTGCATGCTTAAAGTTGACATAGGAAAAGCCTATGATACTTGGTACTAATGACAAAATAGGTGCCTATTAGTGACATGATCACTTCTCACCCACACATTTAAAATTGTCCGCTTGAAAATGGCTCTCGGGTGTGTTTGGCAACTCCACAAAATTAGATATAGTGAGTACAACTTTGGTCTAAAAATTAGTTTTTAATTTGGCAACAATGGGGCCAAGGTTGAACTAGTTTTTTTAGTTCAAAATTTAGGCTTTAAATTAGTTCTTTTTTGAACGACCCTCTACATGAACTAACTTTGGCCTAGTTAGAAGAAACCTAGACTTGGCTTAGTCTCTTTTTGAAGTTGCCAAAAACACCCCTCACTTAATTCTAACCTAGGTTGCATAGGTACGGGTACGGACACAGGTACGGGACACATCAAATTTGTAAAAAGTAGGGTACGGGAACACGGCTCACACAGCGACAACACAGCACACAACACACACATATATATATATATATATATAATATATTATATATATATATATATATAGAGAGAGAGAGAGAGAGAGGAACTTATGTCAACTTAAGTGGACAAGAGGCATTTGTCCACCAAACTTTCTATCCACTCATATATTATATATATATATATATAATAATATAATATATATATATATATATAGAGAGAGAGAGAGAGCAAGACTCCTATCAACTTAATTTGATGTCCACAAAGTTCTTAGCCACACATTTATTAAATATAAAACACCTTTTTATATAATACAAGGATCCCTAGGCAATAGTGAGTGGTTAAAAACTTTGGTGGACACACTATTCCCTATCCACTTAAGTTGACACAAGTTTTCACCTATATATATAATATATATATATATATATATATAGTATATATATATAATATATATATATAAAGTCTCTTCATATCTTGTATGGATCCCTAGGTATCATCAATTGATAGAAAGTTTGGTGGATGGTCCACTTAAGTTGACATAAGAATTTCTCTCTCTCTCTCTCTCTCTATATATATATATATATATATATATTATATATATATAATATATTAAATAATATATATATATATATATATATAAAATTGACAATATATTTAACTACAGTAATTTTGCTATGTTTAATTTTAAATTCTCAATAAAATAAGCTCATTCCTTAAAATTATAAAGTAAACTCATTTGAAACTTTGACTTATATTCCACACAAGCATCAAAAAAGAATAAATAAATAAATACGTACGTATATACATACATACATACATTTACCTATTTAAATATATGAACACGTGTCTCCCATTCTTAGCATTGTTATTAATTTTAAAGAAAAGACAAAAGCAAATAGTCAAGCACCCATGTGAATGGTGATGTCATGTTCCACTAACAAATTTAAAACTAAAAAAATAAGAGAGAGAGAGAGAGAGAATTCTTCTTCCTTACATTAAACTCATTTTCCTCTGCTCCAAAACTCCTGTGTCCCCTTCGTTTGGGTACAGAAACGTACGCAAACCGCACCCGACACGGGTACGGCGTCAAAATTATCGTGTCGGGTATCATAGATTCTAACTCATTAGATGCGTCGATAAGAACTTGTCATCTCGCTACCAAAGACAAAATTTGATCCTTGAGGAAGTGCTACTCATTTAATGAGTTAGTAATGAAGTGGAAACCATTTTCAAGTAGACGACCTTAAATGTGTGGATGAAAAGTGACCACATCACTATTGAGCACCTATTTTGTCCTTTATACCACGTAGTACATAGTACATACATGGTACATACGCATGTACCTATGTACATATGTACGTACCTACATACATAGTACGTATCTATGTATATACCTACATACCTACCTATCTACATACATATATACATACATACATACTTGTTCCTAGGGCATAATGGGGCATAACTAGCTTAGTTAGGCTCACTTGTGAAAATGCATATTGTGCACCAAAATTGAACGATCAACTCCCTTCATCTCAATCTACATGTCTTAAAAGGTCTATAAATAAAAACCCATGTATATTAAACACATATTACACATGCATCAAGTGGTCATAAAAATTATCGGTTTCCTAACAATACAACAAGTGAGACCTCTTGATGCATGGGTTAGACCATTCCAATGAATGATCCATTCCGTTCATCATTATCTAAGTATCTTAAAACATCAATGAACCAAAAATTGATGATGTTTCAATACTTCTAAATCATGTTTTTTATTATCTCTTATAGTTGTATTGCTGTAAAATCGTTAACTTTACAATTACTTGATGCATGAGTAAATATAATCCAATGAGCCTAATTTTTTTGTCCAAAATATATAGATCAATATGAACGGAGTGGATCAAGCAAATTAATCGCATCATCTACATTTTTATAAGTGGGTATAACCAAGAAACAAATAAGCATTCTATACACACACACACACACACACACACACACATATATATATATATATATACACACACACATAAATGAGGAATTTGGTACCAAGTAGTTCAAACATACTTGGTAGTGATGTAGCCAAAACTTAATCACTCATCTTAGTGGTCCCTACTTGAAAATGGTCCTCTCCAACCCATGTACAAGAGGTCCCCTTTGAATGTATAGATAAAAATGAGTCACCTCACTACCAATGACAAAAAGTAGTCCTAAGGTTATCTAGAAAGAGAGAGAAATTTATATACTTTATACCAAGCACAAACATAATGTTCAGTAGTGAGCTGACTCTTTCTCATCCACTCATTTAAATGATCCCCACTTAAAAATAACCACTCCATAATTATCGAAACCATATGCACACATGTGAATATGGTCATATATTTAAGTAAGTGGTTGAGAATGAACCACTTCACTACAAAGCACCAAGTCTGTGCTTGCTACCAAGCATACATATATACAAGGTTTTAAATATCAGATATCGGGGAAATATCGGATGACCAAAATTCATATCGGATTGCGGATATCGAAGATATGTGGTAAATATCGGAATGCCATAATGAATGTTTGCATACATAGTATAATGCATTAAAATGTAATCTCAACATATGTAATGAAATTTAAGCATACAAAATATGAATAATATATATTTAGGATCATTAATCAACCTTCTAAAACAAACAAAAGTGCAAAGCAACATTACAACATTCGATCTGCTTTTTTAGGGCAAAATATCATTTGATATAATGGGAAAATCTTGATATCTCGCCCAAAAATTCCAAACATGGTATATTATTTTGCAACAAGCTATATAAAAAGATATATTGGTCCACATATCAGCTAATATATCGGTCATATCGGGGATTTATCACTCAAAATAGCCAAAAAACGGTAAAGGATATTTAAAGACCATACATACATGTATATGTATATGTATGTATGTTGTATATATAGACATACATACGAACACACTACATACATATATGTGTATGTGCGTGTAGAGTAAAGCTCCTATAAACTTAAGTGGATAGGAGCACTTGTCCACAAAACTTTTTATCTCTCCATTATGCTTTGAGATTTGTGCTACACATAAATGTTATCTTTGAGATTTATACTTTCATTTGTATCACATACTAGCACAAATCTCAATGCAAAATCAATGG